TCAACAGGCAAACAAACAAACCCAAAAGACAACCAAACCAAGTCAAACGACCATCGAAGTATACCTGCAAGAGTTCATTACCATCCCAAACCATCTGACTCATCACTGAATATTAAGTCAAGTCCAAAGATTCATTCTGAACATCCAGAAGATAAAGCTGATACTCTTAAACATAAGAATGCTCCAAATAAGTCTGTGGACTCGAAAAAGAGTAAAATTGTTGAGAAATCCAAAAAGAGTCACATTTCTGAGCCGGCACAGGCCAATAAAAAATCAAAAAAATCGCTCTCTTTGCAAGTTGATGATTCAAAACATATTAAAGATCAAGTAAAGGACGAAAACTTAGATTCAAAACATAAATCAGACAAGAATAGTGCAAAAAATGTTCCATTAGAAAAAGATGAATTTCCGCAAGAACGATCTAAAAAAGAAGCAAGACCTCATTTAGAACACACAGATTCAAAGGACCAAAATTCAGAAAAATCCAATAAAAAGGATCAAGAATCGAATGGTCCAGATTTAAAAGACAATGTTCCAAGAAACAAAGACTTAATTTCGAATTCAACAGAAGATTCAAACTTGAAATCAACAGATGAGCATCAAAAACCAAAACATGTTCCAAAACCAACAGACGATAAGCAATCTCATTCACATACTAAGTCAAATGACAAAAATCCAACCTTATCAGAATTTACACCAACTTTAAGCAAATTGGAATCTAACAAAATTCATCATGAAGCTTACCAACCAACTTCCGATGACTCAGCAAATACAACATTGGTACACCATTCACTTCCTTTAATAGTCAATACCTCAGAAACAGAAATGAAGGATATTCAAAAGGAAATATCACATGTGATTGCATTTCTACAAAAGTTGGTTACCTATGGACCAATTGTTAATCCTAAAGCTTACACTAAAGCACCTAAGTGCCCTGAGTATTCTGAAAAAAAGAAGAAATGCGATTCGTCGTCTAGAAATGATTTAAAGAATCGAAATAATGATTCGAAACCAAAGAAATTAGAAATTGTTGAGCCTGATTTGGATGTTGGAGCTGTTCAGCCACTTTTAAAACAACATTCAATTGATCCTCATATTGACATTGCTATTGTGAATGTTGAGCAGATACCAGCTAAAGAAACTGTGCATGATCCTCCGCTTGAAGTTCCTGAGTCCTTGTCAAACACAAGTGCAGCTCCAATAGCTTCAAGTCAGCAGACAAATGAGCCAAATATTGAATTGTTAATCAATAGCTCAGAAGAAGTGCATGACCTTGATCAAGCAGGAAATAAAGGCAACAGTGCAATAGCAAGCGACAGTAAGTCACAACCACAAAGAGAAGTTCAAGAAAATAATTCAACTGATGGCAACATTCAGCCAGAAATTAACCAACAGCCAAGACCTAGCAATCAGTCTGAACTTAATAATCAGAGCGTTAATCCAATAATTGATGGCAAGCAGTATGTAAATGCTGTGGGTGAAGGTGTGAATAGCTCGGATCCATTGCACAATCCAAAGTTTGAGACCATCTTAGCTTCCAATTCAGCTCATAATCATACAGAAGGTTCAGAGCCCCAAAATCAATCAGAAATGATTCCAACGGTTGTTCCAAATCAATCAAAAGAGAATCTAAATGACTCTGCAGTACCTGTATCTCAAATTTCAGACTCAGCGACATCAGAAAATTCAGAAGTTGAAACTAAATCCTCAGAACCAGAACCAACGACAGAAGCTGATGAAAATCTTGTTACAATTGATCCCACAGTTCAAGAAGAAGCTGTTGAGTCATCAATTCAAGTGGAACCATCAACTCAAAGTCCAGCACCTGCTACGACACCTGCAAATCCATGGCTTATGCACATTTTTGGTAAATTTTCTCATTTAGTCTACTCGACTTAAAAAGTTAAATAAAATGGAGCTTCCAATGCAGGAATCGCGATTAATTTGATGATCAGTCGATGTGCGATGTAAAATTTTTTTTTGTTTCTTTTGCTTATCATGTCAACTTAATGTCAAATAGTTTGGCTAAGTTTTTTGCTTTGAATTCTTTTTAATTTTTTTAATTACTTCTTAATCCAGGTGGGTTCATTTAGGAATTTAAATTCAAGGTAGAGGTGCTTTAAGGGATCAAACCTCTCTATTTTGCTTAAAACTGTCTTCAACATGCTTTAATTATTATCCTTTGTTCTGTTTCTGACTTCTTGACTTTGAATGTAAATCCTGAAAATATGTAAATGACCTTTTTAATTTTTCTGCATTCCATACTTGCTCAAGGATGCAAATTAATTCAAATTTTTCATTCTGTGCTAAAAGTCTTCATTTTTTTATTTTTATTTTTTTAAGCCACAATATAAATTTTTATTCAATGATTTGAGGTAACAATAAATACAGAATGTAATAACATATGTATTTTTTTTATTTCTAACCCCAATCTCCAGGCGCATAACCTGTGGGGGGGGGGGTGTGATTTGGGGGACAAATTCCCCGACGTTAACAGAAATTTCTTCATTATGCTAGGAGTTTTATGAAAAAATCATAAAAATCCCTACTTTCCTTTTGAATTTTCCATATAAAATTTTTTTTTGCCCCCCCCTCCCTCTTTAAATTTCCTGGCTACGCCCCTGCCAACCTTCAACTCCTGACAAACTCTTTTCATAAAAATTATTATTTTTTTTTTGGTTAAAAAATTATCACACCGAATTTAATTCTCTTTTGTTTCCATAATTTATGAACAATCTCTTATCATGTTCCTATGTTTGTTCAACTGAGGCATTCCAGTTTGTAAATATTTTAAACATCAATGTATTTTATTCAGTTCTTCTCAACACCTGTCAGATGTCCCATTAGCGCAGTGGATAGCGCACTGGACTTCTAATCCAGGGGTCCTGGGTTCGATCCCCAGATGGGATGTGACGAGGTTTTCTTCTTTTTTACTAGTTTGCTTAAATATGAGGAATCTGGAATGATTTTATTAAGGTTTTCTAAAATTTTGAGTGATTTAAAGTAGGTTTGAGGTCTATGGCTCATTTCTTTGAGGATTGAAGGTTAAATTAATTTAATTTCGAAAAAAGTTTTTTTTAAATTGAATCAAAAAGATGATTTTTGATTATTTTGAACCCATACACTAAGTTAACAGTGCCTTACCAATTTAAAACTGCTGGATTTTCCTGCAAACCTACTTCAAATCACTCAACATCCTTTAAATCTCAATAAAAACCAAACCAGACTCAAGAAACTTAACAAAATCTAGCAAAAAGAAGACAACTTCGTCACATCCCATCTGGGGATCGAACCCAGGACCCCTGGATTAGAAGTCCAGTGCGCTATCCACTGCGCTAATGGGACATCTGACAGGTGTTGAGATGTCATGAAGTAAAACTATATTTTTAATTTATTTTGAGCTATTTGATAATTTTTTGATAATTTCAAAAATATACAAAAATTAAAATAATTTTAAACATTCAGAGTAAGGAAGTTGCTTATAAAGATTCGGTTCCTAGAGCTAACTAGGGCACCCTACCCTGGTTTCATATCCAATATTGCAGGGTAAACCTATAAACCGGACCAAGTTCCAATAGCTTGACTTAGATGAAAATATCATCAGAAACTCTTCCAAAGCACATCAAACTAGCTGCAGCTAATCCATTCATGTGCGATGAACAATTTATTCCATCAAAGCTGAAGCACCCGGACTTCATTTGCCACTCTAAAATATCAGATATCCAATTATTGTTTAAAAATTCTCCAAATCCAACAAATGAGCAGAGAAAGACTTGTTCCATGAAGAGATCCTTAGAGCCTGATAAAATGTTGATGACTTTGTGGATGAATTTGGATTCTTGGAGAATTTCAGCACAAATTTGTTGGGAAATTTTAGAAAAGTTTTCATTTTTGCATCGAATGTGGCTTAGAAGGTGGTAAAGCAGTCTGGAATGACAAAGTGAAAAAATTTGTTTGATTTTATGGGTTGATATTTGGAGCTATCCGGCAAAGCTCGAGGTCGATGAAATTTTGTATGGAGCTGAGTCGACTCGGATTCGACTTAGGGAACAAAATCGATGAAAATTTCCAGTCGACTTCGAGCTCTGCTATCCGGGCAAGGGAAGACAACATTACAGGGAAAAAAGCATGATTTAAACGATGGGAAACTTCGAATCGCGATGAGAAATTGTTGGGAAACTCCAATCGTTGTGGAAAATTGATCAGAAATTCCCATCGTGGTTGAAATTTCCCACCAATTTTCCATAATGTTGTCTTCCCCTCATACCTGGGGCACCCTACCTTAGTCAACAAGTTTTATAAAATAGTTCAGATAATCAAATTAATAGCAAATAAGCTGCAAACTTAATAAAATGAACGTGCAATTTCAGCGATGTTTGAAGGATTGATTATGCAATTTTTGAGCCAATTAGTTCCAATTTTGGAATCAAAAAAACTTACCCGAGTATACAAAGAACTAGTTAAAAGCTTGCCATTGACTTGCCTATTCATGGCGAGTATCCATTGACTTGACTTTGCAGCTATTCTTAGGGACGACTAATGACATTTTTTGCGCTTTTCATTTAACTGGACATAGGTATTGCACTTGTCTAGTTAACGTCTAGTTCTGTATGTCTTATAAATTTTGGCAAGTTGAAAGACTGGTAAATAATTGTCCAATAATGGATTTCAACTAGCTGTGTCCACTCGGGTCAATAGATCTCAAATAATTAACTCAAAATTTGATAAAAAAATACCAAAAGCTGAATTATCACAAAAACAATTCATTCATTAAGCTTCAAAACGTTTTTTTGTCATCGCTCCACGCACAATAAAATCTCTCGATAGACTGACTCTTATCTTCACATAACAAGAAGCACTTTACACAACTGTCAACAGAGAATATTCATTACAATCACGTGCGAGTATTTTTGTGTTGATTTTCCTCAAATTTATTTTTTCTCTCATGCCGCAAATATTTTTAGAACCGATTAAAAAAAATTAGTTCAGTGTGAATTCAAAAATGTCACAAATCAGACGACTTTTCTCGTCAGTTGGAAATTTAAAGACTTATCGGACGTTCCGAGCATTGGATCTTGATGGAAAGACGGATGTTGAGTACAGGATTCAAGATTATCCAAAAGACAGAATTGAAGAAGGAATTCAATTTAATACTGGGGCATTTTTGAAGCATGAGCCAATGTCAAGGACACGAAATGTGATTAATAAGCCAGAAGCTGTCGAGGAATTTTTAAATTCGATTCGCAACACAATGCAAAATGGAGTGTCGCTGGCTTGTTTTAAGGAAAATTCTGATGAAATTATATCGACGAATATTTTGGCTGTTAAAGATGAGAAGGAATACATGGCTGATTATGATGTGAGTAGATTTTAATTGGCTTGGGTCTTGAATTACCCGGTTCCTGAATTTTATCTCAACTTCCTACATTCATCAATTCCAGTTCAATAGCACGGACTTCCAAGACATCTTTGGCGTCATGGGCTACGCAAATACACAGTTTAATCCATTCAAGCACTACAACGTTGACAACATCCTTTATGCATTCACGGTTGGTGTTAAGCCAGATTATCGTGGACGTGGAATCGCTAATCATATGTTCCAATGTCGACGACTATTATGTGAGGAACTAGGACTGAAAGTGACAACGACTCATGCAACGGCAAATGGAAGTCAGAAGGCTGCACTTAATGCTGGATTTGAAGAGAATTTTTCTATTAAGTGAGTTTGAAATTTTGAAATTTTAAAAAGTCGTTAAAAATTTAAAGTTTTCCAAAGTCGATAAAAAATTTGAATTTTTAAAAACCCGTAAAAATTTAAATTTTAATAAGTCGTTAAAATTTTAATTTAAAAAAACGTTAAAAATTTGAATTTTAAAGTCTTTGGAAAATTTTAATTTTAAAAAGTCATTAAAAATTTGAATTTTTAAAAGTCGTTAAAAATTTGAATTTTAAAATGTCGTTAAAAATTTGAATTTTAAAAAGTCGTTGAAAAATTTTAATATTAAAAAGTCGTTAAAAATTTAAATTTTAAAAAGTCGGTAAAAAATTTGAATTTTTAAAAGCCATTACAAAATTCGAATTGTTTAAAAAAAAATATTTTTAATTTAAAAATCATTTCTCATTTTAGATACAGCGAGCTTCTCAAGATCAACCCAAATTTCAACTTTCCTAACATTGACACCAAATATTTCAAAATTATGAGTTTGAAAATTTAAGTCAAAGAGTCCAAAATAAGTCAAATGTGTTCAAATTCTAGTTCATATTTATCTCATTTGTGCAAAAATGATTGAAACAAAAATAAAATTAAGGTCTGCCTCACTTAATTACTTATTTTTATTTATACATGTGAGATTTTGATTAAAATAGTTGTTATCAGATAGCAGCAACGATGATTGTACAATTTATGTAGGAAATTATAAAAAAAAATCCACATCAACAATTGTCAACCATGTGAAGCAAAGAAAATGATAAAACTGCAAGGTCAGAATCAACGTCAGTATTTAGGTATTTAAGATGTTGTATCAGTTTCTAGAGATCTTTGGGGTATCTTAGGATACTCAACAACCCTAGCTATGGAAGGTGTTATGCCCTAGGACAGTGTTGCCTAAACTGTGTGTCGCGGCACACTAGTGTGCCGTAAAATTGTTTTGGAAATGACATTAAGGTGCGCCGAGGCTCAAAAAGTTTAAACAACACTGTTTTATAATCAAAAAAGTATCCAATGTCAACCTAATCGATATTTTGCATGAATCAAAGCTACTCAGGGCATGACAGTAAGGACGCTTCAGTCGGAGCCTCTTGAATGATATTTGATGAACGAGTTTATGCAGTGCATATAAAGCTACTCTTTATAAAGATCAATGCATTGTTGGTTCGCTTCTCCTGACTACGCCTCTGATCTGAACAGATGCATAGCCAGGAGGGTCTTGTCCCCCCTTAAACGTTTTGAACCGCATCGAGAGCACGGCCTAAAATGATTAAGAGGGGGACAAGACCCTCCTGGCTACGCGCCTAGCTCTGAAGCGACAACAGACCACAAGTCTTACAAATTTGTCATCAAACAATTCACAGACATCAAAAATTCTCGAAAAATGTAAATTAAAATTGATCGATTCTCCCAAAACCACAACGCTAAACTTAATTGCTTCCATAAATTTGATTGTTCCATATTCCATTAAAGTTTATTACTTGAAATTGATACATTGGAAATTGAACTATTTTATCGATTCAGCTGATAAGATAAAAATTAATGCAGATAATGACATCGACCAGTATGGAATGGATTAATGTGTTTTGCAGTTGGTTTTAGTTGATGATTTTATATAGTCATAAGTTTGGATAATAAACAGAGGTTTTAAAGAAATTCCTAAAATGATTAAATTTGAACGACCAGCAACTCTCGAACATCCGAAAATCCATCACAAATTTAAAGCTTTTGATGCCGACAGTTCAGTTAAAGCAAATTTCATAATTCAAGATCTTCCGACTGAACGTTATGATGATGCGGTGAAGTTTATGTTGGAATATTTTGTAGCTGAGGAGCCGGCATTTAAATCTAGAGACATTAAGCTTGACAAATTAGCAGTCATTGAGATTTCGAGAATTTTCAGGCATAATTTGGCTCAAAATGTATCGATTGTGTGTTTTAAGGAAGGAAATGATGAAATTATAGCTGTGAATGTTTTGGGTGTGAAAGTTAATAACGAAGATGAAGATGAGGGATATGAAGATGAAGATAAGGTGAGAATCAAAGAATTGTATTAAAAATTCAGGAACCTAACCTCAAAATTCAGGAAGCTAACCTCAAAATTCAAGAGCCTAACCTCAAAATTCAAGAACCTAATCTTAAAATTCAGGAAACTAACCTCAAAATTCAAGAACCTAGTCTTAAAATTCATGATCCTAATCTCAGAATTCAGCAACCTTACCTCAGAATTCAGCAACCTAACCTCAAAATTCAAGAACCTAACCTTAAAATTCAGGAACCTAATCTCAGAATTTAGTAATCTTACCTCAAAATTCAGCAAGCTAACCTCAAAATCTTTATTCTTAAAAACGAATTTCTTGCTTTATATTTTTAGAGAATCACATCGAAAGATCTCCAAGACATCATTAGCTTGCATAATCTACTCGAAAAACAGTTCAATGCTTACAAAACATTCGATACTGATTCTTATTTAAGTGACTTTGGCTTAGCCGTTCATCCCGACTATAGACGAAGAAGAATAGGGACGGAAATGTTAAAAACAAGAACAAAATTGCTAAAAGATTTGGAACTTAAAGCTACAATTTCACATTTTATAGGAATTGCATCACAGCATCTTGCAATAAAGGCCAATTATGACGAAAGTTATGAAATGTCGTAAGTAGCAAAATTAAGGTTTTCATTACAATTTGGTTTCTTTCATTTGACATTTTGACTGAATGGCTTCCTTAACAAATGAACTATTCAAAATTTCGTAACATTTAAGCTTGAAGATTGAAAACTATAAAGATTATTAAATTGTTGAAAAAAGCTTTTATGCAAGATCAAGGGGACAACAACAAGATTTTTGTTAATTTTCAACAATTTTTTAATTTCAAAAATGGCGGAAAGTGCCCATCATGTTGTTTTCCCCCTAAAATTTTCGAATAATTTCCAACAGAAGTCTAAATTGTTAAACAATTATTCATTGTAGTCCAAAACAAGTGTCAATTTTGCATCAAAAACAGTTTCCCCATCATGCTGTGTTCCCCCTTGTTATAAATTTAAATTTTTGAAATTTTAATAATTTTTCTTTTCTTTGTTATTTTTTGTAGCTACGACAACCTTTACCGAATAAATACAAACTTCTACTTTTCTGGTGTGGATGGATTAAGTGTTAAAATTATGAGTTTAAATTTGTCGCCATAGAAATCTTTTGTGCATCAAAGTTTTATGAAAAGTCTTTAAAGTGTTAATAAAATGTCTAATCTTTACATAATTAGGAGGGGAGGTCAACTTTATGGTAAATGATTTTTGACTCAAAATTTCTCATCATGTTGTTTTCTCCTCGGATTTTTTTTTTGTTTTTTGATGAGCTGAAGTGGCTCAGTGGCAGAATAGTTTAGTTCTGCTAACCCTAATAATACTGACGCAACGATCACGGGTATTACACTCAGCATGAAAATTTATTTTTCTTATGCTTTTTCGAAACATTTGCACTTGAAATGAAGCACAAAGCCTTTTTTGTTGGCTACAGACTGTAATGTCCTCAAGGAAGTGTTTTGGCTCATATTCTCACTTTAAACTATCATTAACTGCGAAACGCACGTCGCCCTACTTTAGACACCAAATAATCTAATTACTTACTTATGAGTCAGTTGATAGCCGAAAGCTCTTCTTGATGGATTTTCAATTTCCAAACAAAACTTGCTCAATTTGCAGTTATTTTTGTAAATTTCGCTCATACATTTGTCAGAATTCCATCCTTGTGGCTCATTTTCGTCGTCGTTGACCAGGCTTATGTAGTTTTTAATTGATGAGATCTTGACCAACGGACTATTTGGTAGGGAACCGCAAATGATTGGAAAATGTTCTTCAAAAATAGTTGAGTTGAAGAATGGAGCTGGAAGTAGAAAAGAGAAAATTAATTATGGGGATCGTTCACAAATGATGTATGACAAATCTCAGTGAATTCTTAGCTGGTAAGCCATTACTAATTTTAATTTAATAACAATTTCCCAGCAGTTGAAGGAGTGAGGATGTAAAACCTTAAACATTGCCCACCAAAATCTTCCAACCCACCAGAAACATTCTTAAAATTTTTCAAAATGACTTCAATTTTCCTCCCTAAAACCTTAGCTTCATCTTCATCCTTTAAATACTTTGTCTGTCCTTTTGCTATCAAAATTCCCAAAATTGTTCCTTCATCAACTTTATCCGGATTAACGACACAATAGTCCAAAAGTTTATTTAAATTTCTAAAAAATATATTTTCAGATTTTTGAAAACTTATCACATTATTATGATAAAAAAACACAAAAGTTGAAACAATTAAGAACATTTTGACAAAAAACATTTTAATTTTAAGTGTTAACAGTTGAAGCACGAAATGAAAACTGGATGAAAATTCTAAGGTGTTGCGTGAAGAAATAAAATATAAAAAAAAAACAAACGTAATTGAAAGTAATGAGGGCGGATTTAGAGAAACCTTAAGACGATGAATGAGAAATGAAGAGCTTCCGGGTAGAGATTTTAAGTCACAACATGTTCGAGTGCTTCTCATGCTGGAAGATTAATTTGATATGGGAATTGATGCTAGTTGATTGGTTTTTTTGTTCCTATTTCCATTCAACTGTTTTACACTGAAGATGTCTTTAAGGAGTCTTATCTGACAACAATGTCAACAGAACTAGGGTTTTCAATCCCGGGATCCCGGATCCCGGGATCCCGGGATCCCGCGTTTTTTTTGGTCCCGCAATCCCGGGATTGACACCAGCTTCAATCCCGGGATTACGGGATTGAGTTAGTAGTAAAAAAAATTTTTAAAAAATTCTTAAATTTTGTAAAAAAATTCGTTCGCAAGAATACAAATAATTCAAAATCATTGAAATTTTGATTTGTTGCTCTTCAAAACTACAAAACACTAAAAGTGATTCTGAAATTGAAATGTCAGTAGACGGAATGATAAAGATGAATCAGAAAAAACAAGACGAGATTAGAAAAAAAAAAAAAACCTTTACCTATTCAGATCAATAGTGATCCAGAGGTGCGCTAGGGCGTTTCGCAGCTAATGAGAGTTTAACGAGTGAGGATGCGCCGAACCACTGCACTCTAACCTAGACCTACAATTTATAGTGGGATCCGAACCACTCCTTTGCTGACATTTCTGCCTGTAGCCTACACAGGAAGACTGTGAGCCTCATTTCCAGTACATATGATTCGAAAAAGCAAAAGTGAAAAATTTCTCATGCCCAGTCTCGAACCCATGATCACTGTGTCGGTATTGTAATAATTAGGTACCGAAGTACTAAACCATTCCGCCATCGAGCCACTTCAGCTCACGAGATTAGTATGCAGTTAAATAAGAAAAAGTTAGATGTTGCTAGCGTTAACAATTCTAAGAGTAGAAAAAAGGCTCTGAAGAGAGAAATTGTGATGTTTGACGACAGTGGCATCAAAGGGTCATTATTTAACTTGACTTATCTATTAACTGTCAAACCTACAAGTGTGGAATCTGAACGTGCTTTTTCATCAACAACTAATTTTTGCAGTAAACTTCGCACTTGACTACTTGATGATTCTTTGCAATCTACTTGATGATTTCTACTTTCCAAAATGAAAACCTTATTTTAAGATTATTAGTACTTAATTTTTCTTTTTTTGCTTAATCATTAACAATAAACATACATAGAACAAATATAAAATAAGAATTTTTCTCTCAAACGAAGATTTCATGTTTTATTTATTGAAAATTTTAAGGCTTCTTTAATAATCTCTTAATCCCGGGATTCCCCGGGATCCCGGGATCGAGAATTTTCAATCCCGTAATCCCGGGATTGAAAATTTGGACCGGGATTGAAAACCCTAAACAGAACCAACAATTTTAATTTGAACTCAAGTTCAGCATCACAGAATATGCAACAAATTTAAAGACAGAACCAAAAGAAATTGGAAAATCTTTAACAGCAGCTTTGAGATCATTTAGAGGCTAGAGTGACCATCTGCGTAATTTTACAACGGACAGTCCTGTATTTCAAAACCCTGTCCTATATAAATTTGAAGATTTTGTTCCAGGTCCTGTATTTTTTCACGAAAATTCATCAAATGTCCTGTATTTTCTTAAAATTAGATGGTAACTCTAAATTAGAGCTTGAAAAGACAGAAGCAGAACAGCAATCGAATGAACGCGAATGGCACAAGTCGGTTAATCGATCAGAAATCCGGCTAGTGTGAAGCTAGCATAGTGCTGAAATTAAATCGTTGCCAGCACCATGCCAGAGTCATGCAGACTTTGCCCTGGATTTCTATTCGATTAAACAACTTGTGGCATTCGAGGCATTTATAAGTTTAATCAACTAAGATCAGCGAACAGTATTAAGCTATGATTTAATCAGCTCAGTAACAAGCAACAACATTTAATGGCTGTTACTAACAATTGCTTTACTTAAATATGACAACAAACTTCCACGCTTGGTAAGCGATAGATTATAGATTTCACAAACCAAAAAAGTTTTCAAAAACTCACAAAAAAAAAACTGAAAAAGGATCATTTCAGGAACCAATAATTAATAGAAAGACGCACTTATGCATGGAAGTTAATTACATAATTATGCGTAATTCAACCTTAACAACAAAAGACTGTGAGTGGCTTAACAAAGATTTGTGCAACACAATTACCACGAAAAACATTTGAACTTTAATTCGGTCCACGCACTTTACACCCTTTTTATGCCCTTGAACTTAGCTATTCTGTAGTTTAGATGACTTCATGCACACATTTTGATGCATATAACGTGGTTTGGTTTAGTTTGCATAACATGCTCAATCCTCAACTGTCATTTCAATTTCAACTATGTTTAATCTGGTCCAATTTGTTCAAAAACATTTGCAACGTTAAAACTGAAAGATACACAACTAAGACCACGTGGCTAGTGATTTAAAAATATTTTTTAAACTGAAATTTAAATTTATTGTAAAATTTGGAGAATTTATGAGAAATTAAAAAAATGTATTTTAATGTCCTTTATTCCTTAAACATTTATAAATGATTTAATATGTCTCCTCATTTCATATCAATTATTTTTAAATTCACAAATTCCTTTTCTGTTCAAAATTCTCAAAAATTTGCCCCAAAAAATTGAGAATTATGAATTAAAATTATGAAAAAAAAACAGGTGACCAGCATTAATGTTGAAATTTCCCAATAGTTTTACATTAACTTTTGATTACTTTTGGACATAACATCACATAAATTCACATCACAAACATTTAATATTGCTAATATCAATGTTTAATGTTTGAAAGACTAAGTTTATATGACAAATCTTCAAATTGGTTTAAACTAGTTTTTTCACATCAATTTTTTTTTCTACTATTATTTTATAAAAATATTGTAGCACCGAAATTTGAATTATTCAAAGTTTTTATGTTTTTAAAACTATACCGATAGATCAAAGTTATGAAATTTTTTTAATTGTTTTCACATTTTTCAATCTTTTTAAATTTATTCAATATTTTTAAATATTTTTCAATTTTTTCTTTTTTTAACTTTTTTTCAATTTTCTTAATTTTTTCAATTTTTTTTTAAATTTTTAAAAAAAATTTTGTTCGCGAGTAATACTGGCGTCGCTGGAATTGAAGAAACGTAGAAAAAAAATACTCCGAATTCTTTTCAATTCAATGTATTTATTCTATGCCGTTTGGCTAACGTTTTTCACTGATGGTGAATAAAAGAATAGTTAATTAAACTATTAAAAATGTGGAATATAAATCCCTTACAAAATTTGTGACGTCTTCTCGCTTCAGAGGGTATATAAGAAAGAGGGAAGACGAGTGGAAAATCGAGGGGGAAAAAGAAATATTTCTTGGGTCATGAAACTTTTCCCAAATGATAAAATTCAATTTATTATTTCAATATACGTTATTGATTAATCAATAACATCCTCCGGAGAGGGAAACTATTTTGGGCTAGCGTTTAGCCAAAATGTACTCGGTACTGCTAAGATTCCATCTTCGTCGATCTCATAATCATCTCCAATTGATAATGTAGGTGATGCTGGCGGTGTATCACGATGAATTAACTTTGGAGTATCTGTTGGAATACATCGCGGTTTTGGTTGAGGAGGTTGAATAGGAGCAATAGTTGTGAGTGGTGGATTAAATATCTCTCCGACTGCTAATGGTCTCATAGGAATTGATGGATCTGACAAATTCGCGTTTAGCCAATTTGCTGCTCGGATCTCTTCTGAAAATTCACAGCGATTATTAATTACCAATTCCCTACGATCTTCACCAATCAAGAAAGGCATTCCTACTGGT